GAGTCATCGGTCAGTGTAATACATGAAAAATAATAATAATTTATAAAGGGTTTATGAGGGATGGAAAAAAATTAACAACTGATACCAAGGGCTCAAGTAAAGGAAAAATGTTTTGAAAATGATGATGGCAACATATATACAAATGTGCTTGACACAATGGAAGGATGGATAGATTGTGATAAAAGCTGTACGAGCTCCAATAAAATGATAAAAGCCCCCAATAAAATTATTTATTAATAAAAAAGAGAATATGATGCTAAATAAAAAAGCTTTACTTGTAACAAGGTACACTACACAGTGACTATTAAGATAAGGTGATTTCCCACAACTCCTTCACATTCAAGGAGGTATTGAGAAACCTGACAAAGAAAAGTCTGTTCTATGCTTGTTTTTTAATCATGCAGAAAAATGGAAAAGCAATAATGCTTCATAAACTCTACAAAAAAGCATCTAAGTGATAACAAGTAGAATAAATATGTAATATGTTAAATTATATACTGTATATACTTGTGTATAGTTCAAGTTTTTCAGCACATTTTTAATGCAGTTTTTGTGGTAAAATTAGGTGCCTCGACTGATATCTGGGTATATATGGTAACTAAATGAATTATGAAATTCCCACAAACAGGTAAGTGCTTGACGACTAGCCAGAAAGTTGGTGGTTCAAATGCACCCAGAAGGGTCTTAGAAGACAGGCCTAAAGATCTGCTTCTGAAAGAGCAGTCTTGAAAACTCCACAGAGCAGTTCTACTCTGTACACACCGGTTTCCACGCGCCAGAAACCCTCAACAGCAGCAAGCAGCAGCAGGAAATATAATTTTAAGTCATTACAATCATATAGCAGATTATACACAATATTACTTTTAAGCAGCCACTATTTCTGCCATAAAGATCTTATTTGTCTACCAAGCCATGTATAAAATACCTATACTCATACAAAGTGCAGTAAGAACAGCAAATATGTGTCACTCAAGTTCAGAGAACTATGTTCAAATATTTGAGATTCCTCTGGACTCAATACAATAAATATTCACTGAACAGCTTGTAGATATCAGGTACATC